TCTTGAATATGTCCTGTTAACTCATCCATTACCAACGCAAAAAGGTAAGGACTTAAGGATGAGCCTTGATGTAATCCTACAGTTATAAGGAAGCTTTCGATTTGTCCTTCATGAGTTCTTACGGCAGTCTTTGCTCCTTCATACATATCCTTTATAGCTTGAATATATGCTACTCGTACTCCTTTCTTCTCTAAAATCCTCCAAAGAATGTCTCTTGGGACCCTATCATACGCTTTTTCCAAATCTATAAAGACCATGTGTAAATCCTTTTTCCCATCTCTATATATTTCCATCAATCTTCGTAAGAGATAGATTGTCTCCATGGTTGAGCGCCCTGGCATGAACCCGAATTGGTTGTCCGAAACCCGTGTCTCTTGCCTCAATCTTCGTTTTCAAAATCCTATTGAAAAGGTCAGTGAGCCATGTTATACCTGTCTCTCCCAAGGCTTTCCACACTTCAATCGGTATATCGTCTGGGCCCACTGCTTTTCTATGCTTCATCTTCTTCAAGCTACAACCACTTCTTCCTTCCTGATTCGACGATAAAAGGAGTAATTTCTACACTCTTCTGAGTTACTCAACTCCCCTAAAGAAGTACTCATTTCATGTCCTTCATTGAAAAGATTATGAAAATAACCTCTCCATCTGTCTTTGACCGCGTTCTCTGTAGCAAGAACCTTTCCATCCTCATCCTTAATGCACCTCACTTGGTTTAGGTCCCTTGTCTTCTTTTCCCTTGCTCTAGCTAGTTTATAGATATCCAACTCTCCTTCTTTGGTATCTAGTCGCTTATACATATCGTCGTAAGCCGCTAACTTAGCTTCTCTCACAGCTTTCTTCGCCTCTTGCTTCGCTCTTCTATACCTTTCACCATTTTCATCAGTCCTATCCTTGTATAAGGCTTTACAACATTCCTTCTTAGCCTTCACCCTTGTTTGTACCTCCTCATTCCACCACCAAGATTCCTTTTGGTATGGAGCAAAGCCTTTGGACTCTCCTAATACCTCTTTTGCTACTTTTCGGATACAACTAGCCATGAAATCCCACCTTTGGCTAGCTTCCCCCTCTCTATCCCACACACACTGGAGGTAGGGGATGACGCGCGTGGGGGCGCGTAGCACCGTGCCCTTCTCGGCGCGTGGGGGCGCGTGCGGCGATGAAAAATTATTTTTAAAATATCTTGACGTCCATGACGTCGAGTAGGTCACTATGGTATATTCATATACCCAAATTGAGCAATGTATGAGAAGTTATTAGCTAGTTTTGCCTATATGTTTTAAAATAACGTTTTTATAGTTGTTTCACATATATGTAAGACCTATCCTGAGGACGAGTGCATTCAAGGGCGTCACGGGGGTTACGACCCTTCGACATACCAGTGATTGGGCAGTTATTTTTTGTATATGCCTATATACTACTGACTTTTCCCAGAAATTGAATTTAAATGAAAGTATGTTTTAAAATGCCATGCATACATATTATATGAAATATTTGAACTAGTATTTGATGCATATATGTGAAATGGTGTTGTAGACGCACATGTGAGTATCAGGTGAGTTAGTTATTGTTTATTGTTTGATGTGATTTATGTTGAGAGCTCATAACCTGCACCCCCGGTGTCAGTGCTTGTATTATTCACCCCGCACCACACGCTCACCTTGGATCCAAGTAGGTGCATGTCGTATAGACCACTAGAGGTGGTTTCGGCATGTCGTACAGACCTTTAGGGGTGGTTCCGACTTGTAGGTGACTTTAGATTGTTATACAGCTGTTGATGAGAGAAGCACTAGAGCGTATTCTTACACCACTCTTGTCGTACAGACTACTTTAGGTAGTTCCGATTTGTGTGCAGAGTAGTGCCGTACAGGTCACAGTTTGTGACTCCGGCTGGATTCGATATTGAGCTATAGAATTAGCCGTACAGGACAGCTGCAGGGTCTCCGATTGATTCCATATTTCACCTGTTATATTGATGCATCCTTATTATGTTTTGAAGCATAGCATGGCATATTTTCCTGAAAAATTTTAAAGACTTGTGATTCGAATTATTTGTTGTTATATATATACTATTTTTTTATGGGAAAGTATACAGGTTTTACAGTGAGGGATTAGAAGTGTTATTAAATGAAATATTTCCGAAAAGCTTTGTTTTACTGACCCACTCAATCTTGTTTTACGCCCCTCCAGGTTCTAGTTAGCAGTGTTGGTGGCTCACGAGGATTCCCACGGCGTTCTGACAGACTACTTAAATGTAGGACTCACCTTTGGGTGTTGTAATTTAGGAATGGTCCTACTTGACTGCACCTAGTACTTATGCTCTGATTATGTGTGTTTCACACTTAAACTCACTCTAGCATGTTATTCAGATATTATTGCTAGTAGATGGTTTTTATTCCTTTGTATTTTTTTTACCTTTTTACTTCCGCGTCGCACTTTTGGTTACGTCACACCCACGTGACGGCCAGCACGCTCTGATTTTAGGATCGGGATGTGTCACATTAAGTACCAAATAAAATTAATAATAAAACTCAAATTTATCAATAAACTCACACACTATAATTAAACCCTAGCATCACTTTTTGTTCATCCTACATAACCCTAATAGCTGTTATAGAGAAAAACAAGTTTTTTTTTTTAATTTATTTTATTGATAGATGGTGATTTTGAAGTTTTAAATCCTCCAATTAAGGTATGACTCGATTTATGGATATTTTATTTGTTTGATTTAACTTTTTTTAGAGTTTAGAAGATGAGCATTTGGGTTTCAATTTTTTTTCTTCAATCTCTCAAAGTACCCTTTGTTACACTTTCTGCAACAACAAATTGTTGCAGACACTCTCCCGGTGTCTGTCTGCACCCCAAAACACACTCCAATACGATTTCTGCTACTGCTGCTGGTACATGTATGGATGCTGCTGTCCTGTGTCCACATGCCTTCCAATACGATTTACATTTTTCTTGTAACTAATCAATGTTTGAAGACACTGATTTAGGAAATGAATCATCTACAATCACTCCAGATAAAGAATTAAATAGCTAACAAATCCACCTTACCTGATACCTGATACCTTTTCAAAAGCTAAAATCATTGGATGGTTGCACAAGTCATTAATAAAGTTAAGAGTCAAATGAGTGTAAAGATAAATTTGCATATTGAATTAGGTTTGTAAGGGTATTTTAGGTAGTAAATTTGGGTTTAAAGATATATTAATAGTTTAGTTAAAAATCAAATAGGTGCAAAAAGTAAGTTGGATGTAGAAAAAGGTTACATGGCTTTAAATAAAATTTCCCAATTAAAAAAGAACAAAATATTGGTTGGCATTTTTAACTTTGATATTTCACTTTGTATTTGTCCCCTGTTTAAATCAAATTACTAAAAATAAATTTAAAAAAAATTGAACTATATATGTTTGGGCTTTTTAGGGTCAACAATATCTCTTCCTCAGATCCCTCTGTCGCACCACCCCCACAAACACCCTCACTCATTTCCTTACCTGTTCTTGGCCCAAAGAGGCTTGAAAACACCGTCAAGCAGATGGAATTTTAAAACCCAGAAACTAAAGAAATTAAAAACCTAGATGAAATCTTTTCGAATTTTCAAATCCTATCATCGATTCCCAATCAAGGTTCTAAAACCCAGATGAAATTGTTCCAAATTTGTGCGTTGGTGGTGCGAGTCGTCTCTTTATGGGCATCACCAATTATCAGATAACAAAGGTGACATGGAGAATAGAGATGGGGAGAACAAAGTTTGCCAGAGGAGACCGGAAGAACACAGCGAGAGAAGGAGACGAAGCAAACGGCGGGGACGACGTGAGAGAGTGCCCAGGTAGGGCGAGAGAGAAGAAAGGGAGCCGACTAATTAATACGCCCATTTTGGACTGGTTTACTAAGAGGGTATATGCCATATAAAATAAATGGATCGGATTAAATTAGTCCAGTCCAATTTAATACGGGAGGGTGCTAAACATCCGACTTTGTATTAATAATTATATCCGGTGTTATTAAACGGCGTACCGGCCTAAGTGTCTAGATGCGGTTTGGTGGAGAAGTCCTTGGAACTATCAATAGGCGACATTAGGTAACTACTCCTACATTTTTACAGATTAGCGGACTTACAATTTCTTTTTAATCTCTGCATCGTACATTTTGATTACGCGAAACAGGAAACTACCGAGGCACATTGTGACAGCCACTTTACAAGTAAGTTAATTAACTGTCCTCTTATCAACATTGATTTTTCCAACTAAAAGGCGACTCAAAATCAACAAGGTTCTTCGCTTTGTGAGAGTTGTGGGGAATGTCTGTGGTACACAGCCTTATTCTTGCTTTCCAAAGAGGTTGTTTACACGACTCGAACCCATGGTCTTTTATCACAAAGGAGCAACATTTCGGTTGAACCAAGGCTCGCCCTCCTCAGATTAATTCATTACTGTAAGGAACACTGTATAATTTAGCTACAGGCTCAATAGTAATTTGATTCGGTTTGTTTCAAGCTAAGCAGTGTGCAGGTAACAGAAGTACTGCAATGAGCAAAGTAAAAATAGTGAAAGGTGTTGGCTGGGAAGTTTCCGCCGTTGGAACATGTTAATTTGATTCGGTTTGACTCTAAACGTGCTGATGTTCTCGAACTCGTGGGAATCGCCAAGTTAACATCAGTTTCCCCGTTAGGAGGAAAGCACGTCGAGTCCGTAAGCGTTGGCATGTGCAAGGTGAGCTTCAATTTTGTGCTACACGTTAATCGCTGTACTCGACAATGTTTTATATAGTACAACGATTACTCTAGGAGGAAAAAGGAGGATTGTACAAGGCATCGATTCCGTTAATTCAAGCAAAACCTTGAATTAACGGAATTGATGAATGGAGAGGACAAGCTCTGTATGCAATTTAAGCACCAGGATTCCAAGCCTACTACAAAAGTAGGGGATTTCAGTTCCACCTTATCACTTTGTTTCCAGTTTGACATGTTTGTATCACCTGATTGGTTTTCAAATACAAGATTTAAGTTAGAAAACTATTAATTTGCCACAAATTTACAAGCTGCCTTCAACAAATCTACTTTAATTAAGCAAATTTTACATAGACATCGATCTGATTAACCAGATTGGAAACCACATTTCTTTGGAGGGCCATCAATTTGTTTAGCCATCTCAACGGCAACATCTGTCGTTCCGACGAAAAAATCAACCGGACGACTACCCAAGAATACTATACATCTGTCGTTCAATGCGAACAGTCCCGTGTTATTACAACATTAGAACTCAAATTTAGTGTTCGTAGGTCAGACAACCAGCAATTGTAGGAAAATTAGTGACCCAGTGCAATCTCATCATCAAGAGAGAATACCTCCCAATATGTGACTTGAAGAACGCTACCGAATCTCTCAACTGGCACAAAAAATTGGCAGGGTGAATGAATAGACAAGCCGCATGCTATGAAGAACGCTATTGAATCTCTCAAACATTACCCGCAGAATCTGTGGGTGTTGTGGGTACCTATATTTCTTTACCCCTTTAAGGGTTGTCACTATAAAAAAAAAGGTCGTACCCAGTGCACAAGGCTCCCGCTTTACAGGGTCTGGGAGAAGTGAATGTCGGCTAACCTTACCCCCATTTATGGAGAGGCTGCTCCCAAGTCTCGAACCCGAGACCTACCGCTCATGGGCGAAGGCACTTGCCATCGCACCAAGTGCAAGCTCCTGAAATCACTTTCTCCTCCGCCACCAGTCTGGTATTTTCAACCTCCGGCTTCTATGTACAGAAAGTTTGACGGCAGGGAGCTTGTTCTTCACCTGTCTCCACAGCATATTGACTGCATCCTCTTTCTCTGGGGGGTAATGGAATTCAAAATGGTTGGAAATATTCTGTAGTGTCCCCCACATTTCAATCCATCTCTCCTTTGAAACATTACGAAGCTGATTAACCATGTAATCAGGTTCCAAAGCCTCTTTGAATGAGAAGAATAGTGAGAATTTGGTGTAGTCAATTTCATCCTCAAACGGGAGCTCAATTTCATCGCTCACAATGACGGGAACACAGTGGCTCACAATAGCATCAAATAGGCGACAAGAAGACGGAGTGTCTCCAGCCGGATGCAGACAAAATTTTGATAAACGCATCCGTTGCGTAGACTGATATAACAGAAAGAAAAAAGAATGAGATACATTAGAAGATACACTAATATATGAATCATTACTCAAACTTATGATGGCTACCAATAAAATCCTCACATGCAAAGGGAAAATTAACCCTCTGAAGGACAAAGCAGATCACATGAAATGAATGTAAGTTTCCATGCGCCTCCAACCTGCCCGTCGTCTTTAAGAGAGGGTAAAAGGTTTCAACTATGAGCATAATTTTAAAACTCATTTGCTTTGAGTCCCTCCAATGATTACCTTCCTCATCCATTTTTCTTTAATAAAATGAAATTAAGGAATTTATGTTTGCAATCATTGCATGGAGATATCCAGGTTGAGACTACAAGTAGAAGGAGTACGGTATGCACAGAAATAGTTTTAATAAGAAGGCGAAAGACCATAAAGAAACGAAAATGATGTCAAGGAAGACAAATAATCATTTCCAGTGACTAGTGTGTAAAATCCATACTTTCCAGGACCAAGAAATGCACAAAACAGTAATATTTATGAACCATTATAAGAATCCATACTCCATACATACCGATTTTATGTTATCTCCTGTTGCAACACTCCGCTCATAGTGAACATCATTGTAACCAGCTAAGACTTTAGCCAATTTAACACGAACAATGCCTTCCTGCATATAATGAGACCAAAGACAATCAACTACAGATCAAAATACAAGGTTTTAGGACAGGATGATTTTATTTCAAGCAACTTTTAAGCTAACATACATCTTTCCTGTATGTCCTTCCCTGGAAGAAAAGAAGTGTAGTGCGGGACTCAAATGGATCTGGACGGTTATCGTCTGTAAAGGAATCCACAACGTGCACATATGGAGTAACCACATCTTTGCTCAGATTTGACATGACATGAGGATACCTTCCAAAATCTACAACAATCTGAATTGATGCATTGACCTGTGGCCGAAGAAATCTGAAAGCATTCGGATGTGTCATAGGGATAACATGGTCTCTCCCTCCAGATCTTTGCCAGTACTTTGATTCCCCCAAGATTTTCAATAAATCTACCTGAAAACACAAGAAACTAAAAATTAGTCATAACAAGAATATTATAGCACACACGAAAAAAGGTCAATTGGACACACAACTAAGACCTATATGACATTGACTTTTAAAATAGCTAGCACTAGAGGCAGGACTTGTATAATTTCAGAAGCTGGTTGATGAAGACCAAATAAAGATTAAAAAGTTGACAGTAGAACCAGGACTACCATTCTACACAAAAAGCCGCAGAATTAACTAAGCAGCCATCTAATTGGCGAAGCCATCATCCAAACACATTCTAAGTTCTTTCGACAATTCGTTCTACCTTTTTTTTTTGTACAAATGTCATAAATCAAACAAGTCCCGGGCTGTGAATTCGATATGTCAGCTACAAAATAAAACCCTAGTTGTTAATCTCTCTTCTATATTCAGAAAAACCACATCTTTCTCAATTTTCAGCAGAAGACCATGCTCAATTGCCTATATAACTATAACGTAGAAATGAAACTTCAATTTCCAAATATATGGGACAAACAAGCTCGATCAAGGCATCAAAATTCGATGTTTTCGACGACTCAATTCAACACAAAACTATCAAATTGCTCCAGAAGAATTGAATTGACTAATCCACAGATGAACATGAACACCAAGAAACAAAACGCAATTGATTACCTGCAATTGGCGATCAATCTGAGTAGCCGGGTCGGTCATGTTGTGCCCATGAGTATTGAAGCTCAACGAAGAGAAAAACGGCACAAAGAAGGCATCGGCCAATTCCGGATCAGAAACCCTAACCGCCTCTCTCCCATCACCGCCATTACCGTCGGACAAAAGAGAGCCCATCATCCAGTACTCAACACTATGCTGCCTCTTGAGCCCGGAATTCTTGGGCCACGGAGGCCAAGTCCGGGCGGTCACCGGAGTCTGATCGGTGTTCCGGCGGTTCATAATTCCGACGTTGAAGCGGCGCGGGAGATCGTACATGTAGACTTTGAGAGGCGGGGAGGTGGTGGCGCAGAGAGACTGGGCGGCCGGCGACGGCGGCGATGTTGGGAGGAGCGGGAGGAAGTAGGATCGGACGTCGACGGTGCCGATGAAGATTGAGTAGGTGATGAGGAGGAGGAAGGCGACGATGAGAGCGAAGGCGGCTTTTCCGTACATTTTGTGAGATCTTGTGTTTGGCATTACTGATTGGGCGGGCAGTCTAATAGTACCGGGACTGACTAAACTATGCGTTTGATTTGGTTGAGGAGGCAAAACCGATGGGAACAAAAAGCACTTTTCAGGCCTTGGGCCTGAAGCAAAGTAACCATTAAATTTGGGAGGAACGAAAGAAAAGAATTTCTAAAGCGAACAGACTCAACACTGAGTAACACCTTTGTGTCTCTGTCCAAGCCTGAATTAATCATTAATCCCATCATTTGCATTAAATGAAAATCTTGCTCGAGCAAATTAAATGTGTTTATCCATTTATTCTGTGTCAAATACCGTTTATGGGAGACTTATTTAACATTATGGTTTAATGAGTATTCTTTTTTACTTGTAAGTAAAGAGATTTTAAATTCGATTCTTGCTGAAAACGAATTTGAATCACATTATTATTGCTAGTTTATTGTGAGACTTAGGGGAGTATATTCAATTGAGAATGTGAGAAACTTTAATAGATTTATCGAAATCTCATGGAAAGAGATAAAATTTGTGGATGCTTAAAATATATTACAAAATCTTTCCAATTCCCTCTAATTCCTCAACTTTCTCAAATTCTTTAAACTCAATTTTTAATTGTATACATCTATAATGTTATAATTTTTTTTAAATCTTAATTGAATATATTCAGATTTCTAAAAATTTTAATAAATTATTTTAAAATTCTAATTGAATACATCTTAAATTCCTAATTAAATACTCTTAAATTCATTAAAAAAATTATAAACTATCAAAATCTCAATTAAATACACCATAATTAGTACCCTTACTTTTATGAACTCCTTTAAAATCCCACAGATTTTCTTAAAATCTTTCAAAAGGTCCCAAAACGTCCAAACAGCCCGCAATTTCCAGAATTTCGTATTAGTGGCCCGCCTCGAGACAATCACGTCGTCCCTTAGCGGGGAAGGTAGTTCTTTTCGTACGCACTTCTCCATTCTCCGACTTCCTTCACCTCTCCAAACCAAAACCCACCATCTCCAGTGGTTACCCCGCAAATCCGCAGACTCACCGACTGCAGAGAGATCGGGAAAAAATGGCTTTGGGTTTCAGCCCAGGCGACGCAGCCGGCTTCAAGTTCCTGCTCATTTTGGTGGTGACGTACGGCCTCATGGCGGCGCTGGTTCACTCCATACTCTACATGCGCTTCATCAAGCCGCTCGAGATCGACGCTCCTCTCGATCGCTTCTCGGAAGCCAGAGCTGTCGAGCACGTTCGAGTCTTGACCCAAGAGATCGACGGCCGCCAGGTGTGCTCATTTTTCAATGCCTCACTGCATTTTTCTCCGTTTTTTGTCCAAATTGAAAAAACAATTTGAGATTTTTTCTGGGTTTGATTTGAATTCGCCATTGTTATTGCTATTGGAGAGATTGGGTACACTTTTTGGTTATGGGTTGAGGTACTTATTTGCAATTTCATAATTTGTTGATAGGAAGGGCGTCCTGGCTTGACAGAAGCTGCTCGATACATTACAGGGCAGTTGGAAATGATAAAGGAGCGAGCTGGGTCCAACGTTAGGTCTGTATAAACTATAAAGATTGCTTCTTTATTATTTAGTCATTGTTCTTTGGAGTTCCGTGATGATGGTGCCTAAATTTTTATACGTGCAGAATTGAGATAGAAGAGTCCGTTGTTAATGGAACCTTTAATATGATGTTTCTGGGCCATAGCATTTCTCTTGGTTACAGAAACCACACAAATATTGTGATGAGGTAACTATACACATTTTCAATTACTTTAATTTCTTATCAATATGCTGCCGGTCTCAGTTTTGTCACAACTTATTGCCGTTGTGATAAGTATCTATGTTTTGTTTGTCAAAGTTATAGGAATATAATGAGTAATGTAGTGGCGTTGATGTTTTCATCATGCTGCAGTTAAGAAAATGTCACTGCACATTAAGTTTTATTCAATGGCAGGATATCATCGAAATATTCACAAGACAATGAACCGTCAGTTTTGTTAAATGGACATTTTGACAGTCCACTTGCTTCCCCAGGTGCTGCTGATTGCGGTTCGTGTGTAGGTGGGTAGAAACAAACTTTCATTTTTTTTAATCATTTCATGCATGTTCATGCCATTTTCTTTATTTTCCTATTCTTTTGCAGCATCAATGCTTGAAATAGCGAGGCTAATGGTGGATTCTGGATGGATTCCTCCTCGGCCTGTTATTTTTCTTTTTAATGGTGCTGAAGAGCTTTTCTTGTTGGTAAGTTGTTTCCATAATATTTAGTCTGGAAATTGAATCATTTGCTACCAATTCAGGTTTTATATAGTTTAAAAAATAAATAAATAAAGACAAATTTTGAGCTTTTTATTGGCATCTGATATGTTTAAGCTCACTGGAGGTGATTTCTTACCCTATTAGGGTTCTCATGGCTTCATGAAGACACATCAATGGCGTGATACCATTGGGGCTTTTATAAATGTGGAGGCATCAGGGACAGGCGGTCCTGGTAGGATATCATCACTTGTCAATATTATCTTCTGCAACATGTTTAGGTGTTTGTTTGACTTGTTGCTGCTATTCCGGAGTGTCACTAGTTGATGGCTATTGCTTTTCCTTTCCCTTGATAAATTAGGAGCAGTTTTTCACCTAGAGGCCAGAATACTCAAACTACCTTGCTTGGATGACTGAATTATTGTTTAAGTTGTCTTGAACAGATGGGATGCATTTGCTTTGGGAAATATCTTTTCCAGATGATCTCTTGATGTGACTTTATTGGCATAAATATTGATTACAATCTGGAATTGTCATCTTTACTACAGAAAACATGAATTTCATTTTCATTTTCATGGATTTGTCAAACTGGAATTTTTTGGTGCTGCAACATTCTCTGTTGATTTCTGTAATCTTGATTTTTGCAGATTTAGTTTGTCAATCAGGACCTGGTTCCTGGCCCTCTCAGGTCTATGCTGAATCAGCCATATATCCCATGGCACATAGCGCAGCTCAGGTTAATATTTGTCTTTTCCAGTACTTTTTATCACTTTTCATTTTGATGGGTGCAGTTTATTCTCACTTGCTCATTCATTTGATATACATTGTTGTGTTTTTAAAGTGATTAGTTTTGCCTACTGATAAATGCATCAGCTAAATTTTTCTGTAACTCCAGTTTCATATTGATAATGAAAATGGATAGGTGTGATATTTTTTACTCACTTGATTCTACCCATTATAACGCTATGATCTTCTAGTACCTTTAGAATATTTAGTGGCAATACTAATTCAGATAATATAGTGTTTTTATTTTTTTAGTTTGTCTTATTTTATAAGTTGACATGATTATGTGCCATCTGCAGGATGTTTTTCCTGTTATTCCTGGAGATACAGATTTCCGGATATTTTCTCAAGATTATGGCGACATTCCAGGCTTGGATATTATCTTTCTTCTTGGTGGTTATTTTTATCATACATCCTATGATACAGTGGAGAGACTATTGTACGCATTACATCTGCTATTTTGGTACATATTTACTTAATTTGATTTTTCGAACCACTTTGTCCCTAAGCACTTCCTCTGATACATTCCAATGCCTCCAGACCTGGAAGTATGCAAGCTCGTGGAGAGAATTTGGTTAGCATAATTAAGGCCTTCACCAATTCTTCTAAGCTACAAGTTGTACATGAAAGAGAGTCTAACGGATATCAGTACGACGGAGAGCATGCTGTTTTCTTTGATTATTTATCATTGTTTATGGTACGGTACAAAGCTGGTGATTTGTGGTATTTTCATGATACTGTTAATTTGACATGTCCTCAGCTGATATGTGATACTCGTCCTCACTCTCTAATGATGAATATTTCAGATATACTATACACGGAAGGTAGCCATGCTACTTCACAGTATTCCTATTGCCATCTTCTTAGCCATGCCCATTTTTTCACACAAGCAGAATCGTGGGCTCCTTTCTTGTTTTTCAACTTTCTGCGATTTTACGAAAGGTAAATCCGCTACTTTTCAATTTGAATACCTTCATGCAACCTTATTGCTAAGAGTCCTAGTTGTTGCACCCGAAAATTTTGGTTATTTACTTGGTGGGCTGGATTCATTATTTACCTCACGTCTGTCTTATTGTAAACTTTGACATCTTATCAAGAATTTTCAACATTGTTGTCCAATTTGTTAATTTTGCAGGAACGATTTTCCATGCCACTGGGATTCTTCTGGCAATTGTATTTCCAGTTATCTTTGCCATCCTGAGATTGCTGTTCACTAGTTGTGCTATGAACTGGTGGGTTCATATTTTGTTGAGTTTAACCTTATAAATTATAACCCTGTTGTTTTTTGAAATAGCATTGTGCTTTTCCGTAAGGATTTTTGTATGAGTAGCTTTTTATCAAAATTGAACTTTTCAGTAGAATTTAATTACGCTCATTGATCAGACACATCAGTTAAGCACATACCATTGATGAAAGGGCTGCCCATTTTAGTCAATGGTTTATAGTGATTACGGATAAAGTTCTTTCCAACTCAATTGAATTAGTGTGCCTTTCTTGGTTGAAGTTCTGGATCATATTGTATTCGTAAATGAAGTTAAAGTATGATTTCTAGTCGACTAGTTGTAGGTCCTACAAAAGAAGAGAAAAGAACTCTTATCTAAGCTCCTGATGTGTATTTTGAAGATGCACTTTATACCTTGAAACTCTCACTGACCTTTTTGGTCAAATGCAGGTTTGCTCGTCCATATTTGGCTTACTTGATGTTCATTCCCTGCTCACTTGTTGGTATGTTGATTCCCAGAATTATTTGGAGTAGCTTTCCCCTCTCGCAAGATGCATCAGGTCTCAAATCTTTAAAGGAGGTACTCTTATGCACCAGACAAGACCAAGTTTATCTTTATTTTTCAATAGAAGACGGTTGTGGAGAAATGTTTTTTCTTTTTCTATGTATTGGTTGAAAACTTATAGATTTCTTTTAATTCTCATTTATTACATTCTCTTGTCTGTCAATCAGCTTGCATTTACTAAGAAAAGATTTTGAAGCTATGACCTGTAAAGTTTGCATGGGCTTATATTTCTACCTTATAGATTAATTTGGTGGTATCATGTCTAATTCAGTCTGTAGACCTATTGGGTAATGCCTGTGTATATCAGTAATCCCAGTATGTTAAGTTAGCAAATAAATTATCATACGCTTGAACCTTGCAGGCTTTATCTGATGAAGCGAGGTTTTGGGGAGCATTTGGATTCTACGCTATATTAACGATGGTAAGTGGCATGGTTACCTTTTACTTCAGATGGTTTCACTTAAAAGTTTTACTGATCACTTAAAATGGATGAATCATGAACTTAAGTTGCGTAACTCATATTTGTTTAGTTAACCCTGAGACAGCTAAAACTATTTAGTGAAAGCAGGCTTACCTTTTAGGTGGGCTCAGTGGAGGCTTCTTGACTTTTTCAATGTCCGTATCTATGCTTCCTGGATGGATTTCATATTGCTTATCAGTCAAGTTATTTGGTCGCCAGTCACTCAGGTACTGGTTTCCACAGTTCTTAAAGTTATAATGTTACTGGTGTGTTTGTGTGTTTCCTTCCTTACAGTTCTCATTAACATTTTAGTCCTGTTCTCACAGTTCGAAAAGACATTACAGTTCTTTAACTGAACATATATCATTTCTCTCAGGTCAACATTGTTTTACATGTTACCTATAGTTCCATGCCTTGCATACTCTGTATATTTTGGTGGATTTCTTTTACAATTTCTGGTCGAAAAGCTGGGTATGATGGGTGCTTTGCCACCTCCATATGGTTAGTATTTTTGAAATTTCATTCTTTAATGCTGGTATGTGTTACCTTCACATTTAATTTATTGTACTGTTCAAGGTTTTTTGTGCTTGAATCAATATATGGTCTTCATTTGGATCATAATTCTCTATGATACTTTGTGGTTTGTGCTTGTAATAGAACAAGATCATTAAGATTTTGTTGTTAAATATGGTTCATTCTGATACTTCGAATTATGCTGCAAGTACTTTGGATTCCCGTTATGCAAAAATTCAACGAAAATCTTCTTTTAATCTTCAGTTATATTCTTGCAGGTTATTTTATTCCCGATGTTGTGATGGCAGCAATAGTTGGAGTTGTGACTGGTTGGTGTGTAGGCCCTCTGATACCTATTTCTGGTCGCTGGTTAGCTAGGTCATCCGTTTTGCAAGTTTTGCTGCACATTAGTGTGCTAGGCTTGGCTTTGTCATCTCAGTTCTTTCCCTACAGTGTGGACGCTCCTAAGAGGATTGTTTTCCAGCATACGTTTCTTACTGCAGGTATCCAAGCTAGCGAAAGCTAACGTGTTATGTGATAGTTATGATAGATGATGCAGGCCATGGTTTTTAAAATGTTTGCAAATCCATCCAACTAATATTAGTTTCAACTAGTAGTTATTTATTTCTTTACTTTTCATCTTTGCTTTCCTTTATGTTGGATTTGTTAGGTTTTTCCAACCCATGATAAGTTGTCCTAAGTCTATAAGGAATTATAGTCTTAGAGGATTAAATTGTTTTCCCAATTGGAGTTAGTTTCTCAATTGGAGTAGGTTTTATAACTAGTTTCCAATTAGGATTAATAATCCTTATTGAAGAAGACCTTTATTATGTCTATATAAAGGGGCTATTGTACTAGTTTTTGATTTAAGGGGCAAGTTGTGTGCAAGAGAAAAGAAAAGAGATAGTGTATTTCTTGTTCTTGTTCTTTCAGGTTTTTCGTCAAGTCCTAGTTCTAGAGATTTGGTTTGATTTAAGGGGCAAGGTGTGTGCAAGAGAAAAGAAAAGAGATAGTGTATTTCTTGTTCTTGTTCTTTCAGGTTTTTTGTCAAGTCCTAGTTCTAGAGATTTGGCAAGATTATTGGTTGTACTCATTATTGATATAGTGAAAGATTGTTGTTGCTGTCCTGTGGACGTAGGCACATATTGCCGAACCACGTAAATTCATGGTGTTATTTATCTTGGTTATTTGTTTTTTTATTTCCGGAGTTTGTTCTAGTTTTTCCCATTCTTAAACGCGATATTCTCAACAAGATTTATCCTACACCCTATGCAAACAGTTTTTCTTCTGTGTGACAGATGCAAATCAGGTTGTGGAGTCCAGCTATGATTTTTCTGTCGTAGATTCCAATTCTTTACTTTTCCTATTCAAAAATGCACCGGAGGCGGCAAAGGAATTGCACATTAGTTCAGAGTTATCTTTTAAAACTGCAAATTTATCTCAGCGGGAGAATTTTATGGTATGTAAGATTGTAATGAGTTTACGTCAATTTACTATTAAAGACAGCCTTCTATGACCTTTTTAATCACTAGTGCTTATCCTTGAGATTGGATCACTCATCCTAGAGTATTACCCGTGGTCCTCGTGTCCTGCAATCATTGTTCTTTGTATCTATGATCTATTACCTGAATGATCTTCTTACCGATGTTATCTCAGCAAAAATATGTTTATACTCTCTCACTAAAAAATCAAATATAAGTCCTCATTCCAAATTCTTCCATTCAAACTAGCCTAAGATGTACTCGAGATTCAAGAGCAACCCTACAGCCTTACTGTAATCCATGGATAACTTGTTCATGCACGTCAATTGCTATGTTCAGTTAATTGTTGAATATTAATTTGAAACATGGGCACCATGGATGAAAAATTATCTGATGGCCTTTTGTATATATGTTATATGTTTAGGGACTTTTTCCTGTGTCGTTTTTGTTCTCAAGAAGCTTGAAGTTCCCTGCAAAAAGTGATAGTATTTTGAAGCAATACAAACAGTTCCCCCATCTGTCTACTTATGAGCCACATAAGGTTTTCAGCGAGGGATCTCGGAGAGTATACTTGCAACTGTCTTTAGGGTGAGTAAAACAAACCACCACATTCATGACCTACTATTGGATACAGAATAGGCTTTCTATATGGTTTTTCTGGATTATTCTTTTAATTTTGGTTGCAAGTTTTAAAGCTTTTTGTGATACCTTCATATCAGTTCCTTGGAGGAGGTTTGGGTTACCGTCCTCAATATAACAGGCCCTTTATCGAGCTGGTCATTTGCAGACAATACACTTCCAGGTAACGGAAAGTCTTCTGCATTTTTATTTTTTGATAGACACCTTTACCTTTTCACACAGTGTACGCTTATGCTTGAGAAAAATTGGAACAGCTACTGAAACAAATGATGGAGGTCCACCGTCATATATATGCCGGCTTAGTGGAGCTAGCTCTGAGAATTGGAACTTCTGGTTAGAGGTAAAGCTCTTTCAACTGGTGTTGGTTTATTTTCTTCCAGCTCTGTCCGTTTCTAAAATTTTGCTTTCGATATTTGCAGGCTAGCGGTTTTGAAGATTTGAGGGTTGATGTTGCTGTCATAGACCAATATATGGTTGACGAAACAAAGAAGCTGAGAGGCCTTTTTCCGGAGTGGGTGGATGTCGTTGCTTACTCGAGCTTCTTGTCGAGTTATATCTTCTAGTTTTATTTTACCACCAGCAATTCCAGAAATGCTAAATACAAGTTTGAAATATTCATTCATACATTCTGCAATAAGATTCTTAGCTTCTGGTCGCATTACAAAATTCGAGTGCTTTAAAAACACGTATATCAAATCATTAACGCGACATAACATAGAAACACAAAAGCGATCAATCCGCTAAGGGCGCGTTTACATACATTTTCGGGAATGAGACGTGGAAAATATGGTACTTGGACGCTGCACACTAATTGTGCAGCTATCACCATCGGTTGGGAACAAACCATACGAGTGGTGAACGAGTTCGTGAAGTAAATCGAAGAACTCGATTTCTGGAAAATCCCGAGTTGATTGCGACATTGCTGCTCTATTTTCGCCGAAACATGGCGCCCGGCAACCCAAGCGTTCCACGTTCTCCCACTTCTCATCAACAAAATTCAACCTATATACAAGAAAGCGCAAGGTAAAATCTTCGAGACTTGGTGGGTTATTAATCTTATAATCGTCATCATCATAAACTTTGTTTTTGTAGTCTTTACCATTTTCAAATTTTACCTCTTTACTGTTATCAAATCATGCTTACGTTCCTCTCATCAGCAAAATAATGTGATTATTTTCTATTGGTGACAATCACATAGTTGGCAAATTTAGTCCGAAAAATTGGTCGACCTTACGTTATTCTTTGTTATAACTAATCTAAGCTGTGTACTGTACAGTGTAGACGAAAACAAAACATATTTAGAAGCTTCCACTTTATTCAACTCACTGTGGATTGGGAACAATCCAAACGGGTTCCGAATTATCATTTCTGTTCCCAGGCAGTCCAGATTTATAGAGCGACTTAACAACTTTGGTTTCTAAATTGTATACTCCAAGATGAAATTCAAAAAAATCACAAGACCGCTCATCGCGCACCGAGTCACTCACCTCAGCTGTGAAGTAAATCGAGTTTTCTTCGAGCTCTGGCAATTTATGGGTGGATAATGACATAGCTGATAGATTTTCGACCAGAAATATAGCACGATCGCCCAAAGAGTCAACCTTCTCCCACCTTTTGGCATCAAAGTTTAACTTGTAGACATAAAAAGGCACTGATATTTCATCCCAACTAGGGTAGAGCAACGGTCCGTGCTCCACAAGCAAAATCTCACCCATCGACTCCACCAACCGATGCCTTATGCCGTCGCCATCACCGTAAACCATTTGCGCCATCAAAGGTTGTAACTCCATGGTTTTCTTGGGATGATTGTAGGTTTCACCGAAGTCCCAAACATGAACTGAGTGGTCGCTGCATAATGCAAACAAATGGCAATTGTGGAACACAATCTCACAGTACTTATGTTCTCTAACGAAGTCTAGCTTGGTCCACGCAGTGTTACCTCCGCCATGCTTATAGAATGCTAGACGTCCTACACCCCCGCCGTGACTCGCCACCACAACGACAAAGTTGTGGTTGCGAGAGGGGTTGCAGGATAGGACAACTTTGGAAATGAAAGGAACGTGCAACGGAGGAAGCGTCCGACTTTCACCACAAATTGGATTAGCAAGGTAAATGATTTCTTTGAATATCTCCCCGGCTTTCGGATTCCAAATAGCTAGCCACCCATGTGATGATCCCACACACTGAGACCAATAAAAGTCGTCACGTAAGCCTCTAAACACATTCCTCTTGATCCTGTAAACCTTTTCCTCAGCAAGGCTAAAGAAGCAGCCCTCCTCCTCCTCCACATCAGGATCACTTGGGAGGCGCTTCTTCCGGCGTTGAGCGGGGAGCATGAGCCATGGAGATTGAGGCAGTGGTGTGTAAGATGGGCCGGAGACATACGATTTTGCAGCGTGATTCCAAGAAGGACAAACAGCTTTGAATCGAAGGGTGTGGACGAAATATGAGGGAAGCTTTTCCAGGAGCAACTGCAGTAATTCTGGTGGGATCTCAGACCACCTTGGTAATTTAGTAGAATTTGTGTTACTTGATCTCATCCTCCTCCGTGCAATGGTGGAGTGGTTTCTCAGACACCTTTCCGATGTTTTTTGTTTGTGGCTGCATCATTTGCATTTGTTAATTAGGGTTTTTATCTGTTCGGAGGTTGGTGGTTTGCTTTAGGCTTAGGGTTTACTTTTATTGGGCTTCCATTGGTGCTTATATTTTGGTATTTGGGCCTACCTTTTTTTTTATTGAGAATTAATATTGTATGCGGGTCCTCTTCACACATTCATTTTTCCTTCACACATATTATTGTTAATTTTTGTCTATTGATTTTGTTCAATTCATTCGATTCGACCACCGAAAATTAAGAAGAGTGTGTGAGAGGTAAAATTGAGTGTTTGAATAACACCACTGCACCACCCTAAATTAATAATTTCTATTTCTCTTTCGTTTATAACTGCTGCTCATGAAAAATGCTAGAGACATCACATTTTTGCACTAACATCTTATGTGTACATGTCATATCAATTAATGAATTTATTTAATTAGATATTGTGAATCACTTGCCACAATATATGGTACCCTAATATCGTATAATTACGTGGCAACCAAGAAATGTGGAATTTTTTCTTACGTTGTAATTATATATCTCAATTCTCAAACCATGAAACTAGCAGGCCTGAATAGAAAGTAAAAATGGATAGATTAAATAAGAAAGGAGTACAGAAAGGAGCATGTGTGGTACATTAGTGGGAGGAGAACTCCCTCTCCTCTTACTTTTCTCACCTCCCCCCATCTTCCTCTCCTGTAATCTAGACAACTCAAAAAAAATTATGGTGGTTGGAGTTACTCCACATATTTAATGACCCCCCCTTTTTTTTTTTTTTTATTCCGTGAGATACAGTTAGGGATTTTGGATCCTCTCCGAGGCAATTGGTCGGGATCCTTCTGATCGATGTCTGTGGGCCGTTGAATTTTTATCTAACAGATACGATTATTATAACTTTTAGAGGACCTCCTATTTGTGGTTGTTAGATAAAAATTTAACGGTCCAATACCGGTTAAGAGGATCCCGACCAATTATCTCAGAGAGAATCCAAATTCAAACAGGATAGCAAAGGGTGAATTATTCTATTTGTGGGACTTTTTTTTCTATAAAATATTTGTACTGCCATCTCCCTCTCTTTCCTCAATCCCCGTTTTTATTATTCGACTTTTAGATGTTTTGTGTGTGTGTTCTTCATGATCTGAAATTTTATTAGCATTTTTCCCCTTCTTTATGTATCTTTTTGGAAGAATTTAAAATTTTCAAAATTGCTTGGGATTTCGTTTGAAACTATTTTTAACGGGAAAATTGTGGGTTTTTTTTTTTCAAATGATAGATTTTGTGAAATTTGATGTTAAATTGGTCACAATAGGGTTCGAGCCCATGCAGTCATGTAAATGCTCAACACCTTTCGATCACTGTGATAAATGACCACTTAAAAGAAAGTTGTGGTTGAGTCATCGGAATTGATTACGATGGCGGTAGGTGGGTTTAGCTAGTGTATTGGCTATCATCAAAAGATTTGCATAAATTATTTGATATCATCGATGGTATTGGACTAACTTACTTCTCACAAATGCAAGAAAATTGTAGCTCAACTTGGTGAGAGGAGAGCATTCACCTGATATTTGAGACCTGAGTTCAATTGGCCTCCTACATGTAAGCTAGAGTAGTGGAATTTCCTAGCCACTAAATACTACGGTTTTGTGGTATTCTTTTTTACTTGTAAGTAAAAGGTCTTAGATTAAAATCTCGTAGATGGGAATTCGATACCAAATTAGGTTGCCTATTGTGTGGCTTAGCCGAACTCCCTCTCCCCTTAGTATAAAATATATCGTTATACTAAAAAAAAATAATAAATTGAGGAAGATCACTCATGGAACTAGCTACCTTCTCAATCAACTATTTTTTAGTAGAACAACAAATGTTAGTGAGTTATATGGTTAGTTGTTTAGAGGAGAAAAATCAGTGAGAATCGAACCTACAATAAGGTACATAAATATGATTACTTTCTGTTACTGCCGTGAAACACTAACTACTACGTACTTAATTTTATTGTTGGTATGGCTATGCATGTAGGACAACGGTGTTTTTTTTTTTTTTGATGTGTGATATCCACACACCCTTTTTTACTTCTCTCACACCTTTTTGGTTTTCGGTCGTCGGATCGGATGAATTGAAGAAGATCATTGGACATAAATTAACAAAGGGTGTGTGAAAAGTAAAAATGGGTGTGGATAACACACCCTTTTTTTTTTTTTTTTTTTTATCTCTTTACATTAAGGGGGGTGGGCTAAAACCCACTTAACAAACACTTAGTGGTTGCCAATATGAAGCCCAAAGCAGCCCAAGTGAGGGTCCATTAGCCTATTAGGTCTGGTAGGGTTTCATATCCATTTGTTTATATACGCACGAGTCCCACACGAACCCTCCTCCTCTGCTAATATAAGCAAGGCGTAAACCCTTTCGCTGAGGCAGAAGCCCCGTCAGCCGCCATGGTAACCCTATTCACCTCCTTCCTCTCTCTCTCTCTCTCTCTCTCCCTCCCTCCCTCGCGAAATCTAGTCCGTTTCTGAATCTCCGCGCCTTCAAATGCACTGACAGTGATTTTGTTTTTTATTTTATTTTTCAGGTGAAGTACTCAAGAGAGCCCGACAATATCACCAAGTGTATGTCCTCTTTATCGTTTTACTGTTACAGATTTGATGGGTTTTTGTTTACGAATCTTGGTTTCGTTTCTCTGGGAAAATTGTTATGATCTGAATGTGGGGTTTCATTGTTTTCGTTTGTTTCAGCTTGCAAAGCAAGAGGCTCTGACCTGAGGGTTCATTTCAAGGTATTGTTATTATTATTTGTTGATCGTAGAGTTTAATGTTTCGAAGTTACATGCTTTTGGGTTTTTGTTCTACCTTGTTTCGTTCAGGTATGTGGTGATTTGGTTGTGCAATGTGGCATTTTGTTTCGGTTTCTGTTGCTTATTTGAATGAATCTACTCTGTTTTTCGTTGTTGAGTAGAGATTAAGTAATACATGTAGCATTTTGAATTGGTGGTGTTGTTCTGCTTGTTTTTATATGTGTGTGCCATTTAGTCAGAAAACATTTGGTTTCTAGTTTTACGGGTTTTGTGAGTTAGGAGTAGTCGGGCTTTTTAAGTTTGGACAATTTGGTCAAGATTGACACAAACTTGGTGGTTTTATACGCATATACGTACACGCACACGCACATATATACGTGCATTTAATTTCTTGAATCCTGTCAGACAAACAATCAGCGCTTTGTTGCCTTATGTGAACCAAGCTCTTGTATGCTTCAGGTAGATAACTAGCATTGTTCTTGGGTGAACCTCTGTGCTTTGCATTTGTTGCATTTTGTGACTGAAGGCTCAGTTAATGATGCCACATTTTTGTCATTTATGAATTTTTTCAAGTTTTTGAAACCTGATTCATAAAAGCAGGGCTTAGTTACCTTTTGTGAACTTGGCCCCCCTAAACTTCAGGAAAATCAGCTGCATTGTTTTTGGGTGAACCTCTGTACTTTGCATCTGTTGCATTTTTGTGAATTAAGGTTCAGTTAATGATGCTACATTTGGTCATGTTTAAGTTTTTTCAATTTTTGAAACCTGATTTAAAAAAGCAGGGCTTAGTTACCTTCTGTGTACTTGGCTCCCGTAAACTTCAGGAAAATCAATTGCATTGTTTTTGGGTGAACCTCTGTACTTTGCATCTGTTGCATTTTTGTGACTGAAGGTTCAGTTAATGACGCCACATTTGTGCGTGAATTATATATGTTTATTTTCAAACCTTCTTGAATTGAGGACCTTGTGACGTTTTTCATAGCTCTACTATATTAAGAAGACATAGTAATTAATGAATCATGTCTATCATCAGTGGATAGTACTTGTGTTTGCATCCAACTGCCCTTAGTAATTAATGAATCAAGTCTATCACTGGTGGATAGCACCATGATTTTGCTCCCTTGTATGTTGTATGTGAGTGTTGACACTTGTAAAAACAATTTTGTACTTTTGTTTTTAAAATTTTAGGTTTTTTTCAACAACTATTTTTGAGGTTTGGACTTGCGTTGCTATTTTGTCTTAACAGAACACAAGGGAAACTGCATTTGCTATCAGAAAGTTGCCCTTGGTCAAGGCAAAGCGATATTTGGAGGATGTTCTGGCTCACAAGCAGGCCATTCCCTTCCGTCGTTTCTGCCGTGGTGTTGGGCGTACTGCCCAGGCAAAGAACAGGCATTCCAATGGGCAAGGACGCTGGCCTGTCAAGTCTGCCAAGTTCATATTAGATTTGCTTAAGAATGCTGAGAGCAATGCTGAAGTATGTTGCATCATCTTACACTCTGCTTATTACTTTGGTATTGTGATCTCTATTTGCCGTGAAGACTAATAATTTCTATTCTTTCTTTCAGGTGAAGGGTTTGGATGTTGATTCCCTGATCGTATCTCATATCCAGGTCAACCAAGCACAGAAGCAAAGGCGCCGAACCTACAGGGCTCACGGAAGAATCAACCGTAAGTGCCTAGCGGTTAACCCCCTATCTTATTTTATTGTTGAGAATCTTTGTTTTGATATTGATTTATATTGCTAAACCTATTGCAGCATATATGTCATCTCCCTGCCATATTGAGCTGATCCTGTCTGAGAAGGAAGAACCCGTCAAGAAAGAGGTATTTTGAAAATTATACACCAAGTCGACAAAAAAAAAGAAAATTATACATCAAGTACCTCTAATGACGTTGAAAATGTGTGTTTCAAGTTATGAATTAATTTGATCATCTGTTATCGTTGCAGCCTGAGAGCCAGTTGACAACTAGCAAATCGAAGAAGTCTGCTCTCAGAAGTGGTGCTTCCTCTTAGAGCGCATCTTTCGATGAATCAAAGAGTTGCTGATTTCCTGTGATGAGGGTTTTGTGCTCTACTTTTTATATAGTTTGAGATGTTACATAGACAGTTTTGCGGCCTCGTGTTGTTTTAGTAGCAAGTTATGTTTTGGTTGGGGAATGTGCTTGAAAGCTAATGCTAGAGATAGTTTCACAATATAACCGACTTTATCATGTCCTATTATTTGATTCAATGTCATTTTGTTGTACCTTGCAAAGGGTCTTAAACATAAATTTTGGAACGGATCGGAAACTTGAACTGTGATCATTGTGTGACCCAGGAAAGCATGATCGCTCGCCCTTGATTTGATATCAAGGGTTGAATTGAGCTTCTATAACTGGCAATGCGTTAACCGCAAGTGCTTTTGTTAGAAGCGGAAACATGATTCAAACCGGGTAGGTAACTTGGAAATGCTTCTAGTTTAGTAAATGCCCTCAGGCAAACTTTTATCCGTATTAGTACTGGTTTGGTACTGAGGTGCTTTTATTAAAAGTAGGTATAAAAAAAACTGAGTTCAAAAATGTGTGGTAAACATTTATAAATAGTTTATTTTCACAGTTTTGAATGAAAAAAAGTTGAAAATGTGAAGCAACAAAAATGAGCTTATTCTCATAGCATAGCACAACAATACCGAACCAGTCCTTAGTAAGGAGGAGCTTTTTCTTAATATCCCACCTCTTAAGGAAAATGGGATTGAATAGAATTTTAATATAAAGTTAACCAAAAATCCCCTCAATAAGAGAACAACTTATATATGGCAACAGTTATACCTCCAAGTGGTGTCCGATACCAAGGGAGCGAGAACATATGAATAAAATCTAGGGAACTTTAATAAAAAGCTTTTGCTACTATTCACTTTAACGAAAAACCATATTTTTACACTAAAAAGTCAATTCTAGTACTATTCACTTTACCCTTTATTTTATCCTTATTCGTTAGCTTCCTTAAAATCTACACGTCTTTATTTATCGATACTGAACGCCTTGCGATGTGTGTAAAATAGACGGATTTGCAGAGACCAAAACGTGGGCTGATGCTGTTGGTAGGAGGTAGCATTGGTTCGTCATTATAAATTTGGAAGTAGAATTCTCTTTCCTTCAAAAAATTTCCCCTTGCCTTCTTTCTTCTCTCACTTCCCTTTTTTATCTCTCTATAAAATTAACACAAGATGTTGACATGGCTGGATCGTTGACAGATCAAATAGTAAGGGACTGGAAAAGAAAATTTGGAGGAGAAAGGATCCTAACCATAAATTTGTCCATGGGTTTGAAATCGCAGGCCTGGTGGGGGAGCCATCAATTGGGCTAGGTAAACCCAGAACTGAATCGACCCAAAAATAATCCAATGACTAGAGCAAACCACGTATGTGCCGTACTTCTCTACCGTCAGATACAAAATCAACGTCTCTGATCTCTTGCCGAAGATTCAGCGAGCGCCTCGATTTTTATTTTTTGTAATTTCGTCCTCTCACAAATTCTCAGCGTCTCAGTTTCTCACTTCCGTGCCTTCGTACGTTGGTCTGTTCGCAGGTAAAAACTCTCTCCTTTCCGTCCTCTTGTGCAATTTCAGTTTCAATTTCTATCGATTGGTTGAAGGTCTAGGGTTTCCGATCCCAATTTTTTTATCGAATTTTCTCCATTTCAACCCTGCCATTGATTTGTATGAATTTGGTTGTTGGGCAGCTGAAGGATTTCATAGCCAATCAAATTATTCTCATGACTTACAAGATCTCGTTAATTTTGTTTTCAAATTATGTTTCCTATTTTTCCAGGTTGCAGAGGAAGGAGTTGTTACCTAAGAGTTCATTTCAAGGTATTGTTTCTAGGGTTTTCCCGGTGCAGTTTGAAATGTTGAGAATTTGCTTCACTTTATTTAATCTTTTAATTAATTAGGTTAATCGTAATAAGTTGTTTAATTTTCTGTTTAATTTGCAGATGGATTGGCAAGGGCAGAAGCTAGCCGAGCAGCTGATGCAGATACTGCTACTGGTCTTCGCCGTTGTGGGTTTCGCCACCGGTTACATAACCGGATCGTTCCAGATGATGACTCTGACTTACGCTGGTGGCGTGGTTCTCACGACATTGGTCACCGTCCCCAATTGGCCCTTCTTCAATCGCCACCCCCTCAAGTGGTTGGACCCGAGCGAAGCCGAGAAGCATCCCAAGCCGCAGCCGCAGCCGCAGCAGCACTCGACCTCGAAGAAGAAATCCTCCAAGAAGTAAGAAGTAGGTCATCACATCATTGGATTTAATGAGATATTAACATTGTTCTGAGACTGATAGTTTCAGCAGTTATACAATGAGACTAAAAGAGATTTTCTTGGTATTTGCTGCTGCGTTTATGTGATCTCGTTTTAATTGTTTGGTTTTCTGATTCAGAAATAGGAAACCCTTTGATTTTCTTTTGATAGTTCATTAGGTAAACATTGATTCAAGCATGATTACAAGTGCAAAGATCTCTGAGATTGAATCGGTTGCCAATTACAAACGTTGCTTGCGTTTCACTACGGAAGACTCCGGTAAGTTGTTGTCAAGATCAGGGCTCAAGCTCAACTATTTACAATGCACGATAAGATTGAACTTTCTACTGGTTTTCATCCCTCGTTGCCTTGAGAAACGCATCATTTTCCTCACCTAGTAAGTTGTCATCATCCAGCTCGTCTAATTCATCGAGTAAAGATTGGTTCATACTCTTGCGAGATACTCTCCTGTGCTTCTTCAGCTCCAACCGTGGTTCAGCTTGTTGAACGCCCTATCTCCCGCCTTGTACCTGCAAACAATGTGATACGTTCAGGTTCAGAAGCAGGACGTACGAAATGTGCGAGGTATTAGGAACTTCGTGCTAGAGAAACATCTGTACTACATTTGTGTGAGTAATGAGACTAAACCAGAACGTGATGTATGAGAACGATATGCCAGCAATCCAATTGAACTATGATATGGCAGATATTACGTCTGCACAAGCACCACAAGTGCCAGGGCAAAGTTAAACTGGGATAAAAATTATGATAACAATTATTTTTTCTGTGCACATCAGTGTGACGGATGCATAGATTCTCATTTTTTTTAAACACAGCAAACAAAGAATTTACAAACATTTCAAGCCATATGGACGGTGAAATGGTAGCTGCTTTCAATCTACCACTAGGTTTCGGTAGGGCATAACATTCCTTATGTTACACCGCAAGTTCGTAACAACCATGGTAATGCGTATTATCCGCATTCAAGTACTTAAAACCACAGTAATTGAACTATTCTGTCAACAAGCATGCAGAACTGGGAATAAAAACCTATATGTAGTTCGAACATACCTTACATCACCCTCCTTTTTGGTTCCGTACGTCCTCAACTGAAATTCCTCTCTGATTCTGATCTCATCAAGAAGTTGGAAATAGTATGGATATCTTTCCCAATCAGCACTAACCACGCACCCCGGCTCACCAAGATGCAGGCAATCATTGAACGAGCATTTTGCAGGCTCACTGTCACTGAGCATCTTCCTGATCTGATAGGATAACGCATAAGTACCAGTAGAAAGTAACACCAAGTGCCAGCAATGTGATGGGAAAGGAACTTATGTACATGAATCAAGTGAAAGGCATCAAATAAAAAGCACACATACCTCTGGGAATGTTTGTGCTAGAGATTGCTTGGTGACTTTCGTTAAACTAGGCTGGTTGAAGCCAGGAGTGTCAGCAAGATAACCCCCGTTAGACAATGGAAGCAACGAGACATTGCGTGTAGTGTGCTTCCCTCTGCCACTTCTTGTTGAAACCTGTCCAACAAGCTGGTCCCCATACCACTTGCTGCCTGAAATCTGAAATAAGTACAGAAAACAACGGAGATATGAGCACAAAACTCACCCTAACGAAATCATAGAAACAAAAGAAAAAAGAACGAAGGGAATGATTGAAACCCACTGGATCAAACAAACTTTCCCCTTCTGCAGCATCAGAAGCATGGTGGTTGCTCCTCAAAGCATTAATCAGACTAGACTTGCCAACTCCACTTGGACCGACAATGACACTCGTTTGATCTCTCAATATAAATGCAAGAGAATCAAGTCCATGTTTCGATTCAACACTGCAAAAAAGGGGCTTGTAGCCCCACTTACGCAGCCGAAACTTCCACGCAGCCTTTGCCTGCATATTTAATCGAAGGCTAGCACGCTTAGGAATCAATACTACCAGAAATGAATATACTGAAGACGGACAAAGATTACATAGCAACTTCTAAAAGTAAACCACATTTAGCATACCAAAAAGAATAGTTCCAGTTAAAGTGCTAAATTTGAACTGAATTAGAACTCTTGCGCACTACCGTACCATGAGAAATTCGAAAGATTCATCACCAATATCAAAAACTCAGAGCCAGTTTGATATTCCTTTGAACTATTATACGAAAACCATACAGCATCAGACGAAAAATTCAGAAACATTTTGATGCTGCATTGAATTATTATTTTGATGCTGCATTGAATTATTATACATAGAACTTACTTATCTAATCAAGATAAGTAAGTTTACTCACATAACACAAGAGATTAACAACAATTAGAGCTAAGCAGCCAAACTAATCACCAAAATTAAAGTCAATGAAGAATCGAATCCAACCTCTTCGTCAACAAGCTCAGACTTGTTGAGACGCGAGTGTGAGCGGAATTCCGGTGGACTCGGCCTCGATCAAGAACCTGGTGAGCGCGAACGGCTCGAGCTTGGGCTGCTCCATGGAGAAGAGCACGAGCAGATGGTCCACATTCGCAACCGGAGGGTCAAGAATCTCGGAGCTCCGCTGGTACACATTCTCGATCATGCCCCGGCGGTCCACCCAATCAATCGACCCGTACCAGCACCTTGTCCCCAACCAGCACTCTCCTCTTAATTTTCTTCAGCACCGCCTTCACGACGCACAGCAGCTCCACTTTGCTGTCTTCGATGCTTCTGGGAGGCTCCACGATGACGCGCATGAAGTTGGCTTGGGCAGCGGCGACCGTGCCGACGGTCTGGGACTCGTAGAGCGGGGGCTTGTCCTGGGGAGAGAGGACCGGGGCGAGGGAGGAGTAGTCCTTGAAGGTGTGTTTGGCTCTGAGGAGCTTCTTGTTCGGAGGCTGGGATTTCCTGGAGACGTTAGGGTTCTGGTGCTGTTTGGCTGCGGCGACGGAGACGCACCCGGAGAGTTGAGATTTGGCGGATGATTTTGGCGACGGTTGGGAGGGCGG